TAAACAAGCAGAAAGACTACAGCAACTCAGACAACCATGTTTTACGTCCGTTGTGAGCGGAAAAGCATCTCAGAATGTACAAGACATCAAACCTTGAGGCCGATAGGCCACGGCAGTGGAAGAACATTTTCAGATTCCACTGGTCAGGAACGGAAATCTAAGGCTGCTGTGACTGCAGGCTCACCGATATTTGACAGTTAAAGACTGCAAAGTCTGATCTGATGCATGTCGATTTCTTCTGCGACCACAGACAGTATAAAAAGCTTGACTGGGTCTGAAAAGTAAGGCGAACGTGGAAGTGTCTTGAACTTGCATTCTTATTAATGGCCAGTAGGGGGCGACTGCAGTGGTTGCCAAAAGTCCAATTCATTCGTGGTCTAGAAAAATGACCCTACTTCTTACTTGATTTATTACCTCAGTAAACATTTTCCTCCGCATTTCATGATCTCTGTTGCAAGTTTGAAGTCTCCTTTCATACAGCATAATGTTAATTTTTATAAGATATGGTCCCATTTAGTGTAAAATAAAGGACAAAGCGACGTATGCTTAAGGGTGTGACTATATGGGCTATAGTCAATCAGAATGGATCATGGGAAAGAGGCATAATAATGCATATCCTAGGCACTCTGAACATTCAATAGCTGTGAACTTGCTTTGGTTGTTGTCCATTCAGAATGGATCATGGGAAAGAGGAATAATGCATATCCTAGGCACTGTGAACATTCAATAGCTGTTTTTTTTTTTGTGGTTTTTTTTTTTTTTTTTTTGTTTAGCCAGGAAATTTGACAGTTTGACAGTGTGATTTCATGAAAGTTAATTGTAATATTTTGTTTGCTTAAAAATGTCCTGTTCAGCCTTCAGTTAAAGGCACTTTATAAATTTGTCAGTTTTTTTTTCCTGATAAGTAGCTACATTTTGTTTAAAACATCTTTTTCCAAAGTTAAAATAAGCATCCCAATTATATCAGTTTGCATGAATTTCAGATGCACTTTGTGAACCAAGTTAGCTGGCGCTAGTAGATAATTTGGCTTTTGCTCTGCTAATGGAATTGGTCACAGCCGGGCTGAAAGCTATTAAACTAACGATATGCAGTAATAAAATGTTTAGCTATTCGGTCAAAGCCTGATGGAGACTTGACTTAACCAAAGCTATGCTAGTGATGTTTCTTTTGTGTTTCTGGCTCAGTTGAAGTATATTGCGCTAACATTAGTATACCTTAATTTGCTCTATTAATGTAAAGGTCATTTTAATAAAAAAATTGATGAAGACATCATGATGGTTCAGGTTAACGGAACTTTGATACGTGACAGAACTTATGGAAAGGATATGCTGTAATTTTTGTGCTTGCATTATAGCCCTTTTTAATGGTGTAATGCACAATAATGCTGAAAATGCCCCTATCCCACAATGGTTGAGATTCCTTTAAAAATTTTGGAATCCGGATCGTGATCTGGATCACCACCAAAATTTAATGGATCGTCCCTTGTACCATCCCTGACTCCTCCAGAAAATTTCCTCGAAATCCGTTCATAACTTTTTGAGTAATCCTGCTAACAAACAAACAACAAACAAATGAACGGTCATTCTTAGAACAACAACTTGCCAAAATCGAAATTCAAAAAAGGTGAAAAGATATATCGTATTGTCTAAAGAACAGAATAAAAAAAAATCATTTTGGCAAAAATGGAACTTATGCACTTACGTCAGAGTGACGTCCTTGCAGCCCCTAACTGCTGGCTCTAGGACTCTTCATCCCTGGACTTTTTGTCCCCGAATTTTTCGTCCCCAGACTTTTCATCCTCTAGCAATTTTTGTCCCTGGACTCTTTGTCCCCATGGAATTTTCATCCCCAGACATTTTCGTCCCCAGACTCTTCGTCCCTGGATTGTTCATCCCCAATACTGCTTTGCCCTCTTCCTGCATTAGAACCCTATCCCTAAACCCTAACCCTTATATCATGGTGATCTGTAATCACCTGTATCATCTGTAATGAGGTAATGAACCTGTCACTTATTTATGTTGTTGATTAATGCAAACATAGAAGTAGTCGTGTAATTTATTAAAATTTGGCAAAATCTCCAGCAATTTGTGTTGTATAATTACAGTATGAAACATCCTGTGATTTTTAAAATTCATATCAGATATGCAACATGAAAACCTCAGGGCAAGAGTTCATAAATACCATTTTGCACACTAAAAACTGCATTGATATCTACAATTTTATTAACCATCAACAACGCTTGACATGTTTATAAAAGAAAGCAATGATGAATTTAATAATGTGTGAAATTCACAATCAAGTGTAAATACTTAAAAAATATAGCCGTGGGATCAAGGTAAAGTTGAACATAACTGTCACAAGACAAGATTGCATGATGAAAAGAGGTAGTTGAATTTCTAGTTCAACATAATTTTTAGTAACAAGTGTACTGTAAATGACAGTAGAAATGGTAGACATCAGAAAGTACAATATCAGAATAATATTTTGTATGTAGCTGACAGCATTTGATGCAGCAGTCTGTACTCTCAGTGAATAAAATCCAAAGCCTGGGTAAAGGAATAAACGCTGCCTTTACTATTTATTTCTTTTTTATTTATCCTTTAATTAGCCTGGAAGGTCCCATTGAGATACAAGATCTCTTCTTCCAGGGGGCATAGGGCAACAGTCTGTAGGTTGGCTGAACTGCATAGTTGAAAAGGCATTTGCAGCAGTCCATAAGTAATGGTAGTAAGGTGCAAAAAGTCCAGAAGGCATTATTCATCATTAGTCCTTGTATGTGAGCTTGGGGGGAAGAAGCTGTTCTGATGTCTATTCATGCTATGTTTCTTTTTTATATTTTTTGATCTTTATTCTATTTAACCAATTTTCCATTTTCATATGAGGCCTACAGACTAAATGCCCTCCTGTGTAATGGCTGGTAAAAGTGGAGTTTCAGATGCCGTGGCAGGCGAACGTGCACCAAGCACGGAGCCGGCGCAGCTGAAAGTGATAGAGCGAAAATTAGAAGGGAAAGGAGCTCGCGTTTCTGAATACACGAAAGACTTAAGTGCCAGAAACGAAGCAAGCAACCACAGAGGCCAAAGAAATCTCAATAAGCGAGAAACTAACAAGGCACAAGACAATTGTGCCATAAAAAAAACCTAAAGAAGCAAAGCTTCCCAGAAATAAAGATAATATATATACTGGCAAACCCTGACTAAAGATTTCTCGAGCCGAAGCCAGTAACATAACATCAGACACTCCAGCAAAGGAGGCGTGGCGACGTCCGGCTTAAATAGACTCCGGGGAAGGACCGCCCAGGAATAATCAGCCAGCTGGGTAAAAAATCCGATGGGGAAAGAAAACGATGTCGTCAGGGACGAGAGTAACAAAGAAAGCAAAAAGCACATTCACAAACCATGACATCCTGTTCCTTTTATAATTTTTGATTTCCAAGCACTTGGTAAAGCTCCAATAAGTTGATTATATTGTTGCAATGTACAGAATGTTCCATAAAAACCAGTTAATTGTTTGTAGGACATGAGTTTATTATCCTCATTCACTATATCCCTTATAAAAATAATACCTACATCAAACATGCGTTTCCAAAAAAAATCATCATTCTATAAACAAGTATATTAGAATTTAACCATATTATTTGTTGTAGAACTTGTTCTGCATTTTCTGGTGGGTGAAACTGAAATTGTAACCAACTTTGTTGAGCTTCTTTCAAAAAAGTGGAGACACCAGAAAACATGTCATTAATTAATGCAAAATGCATAGGTTTAATTTGCAGAAATGGAGAGAAGCCTTTATCAAACATAGGATGGACACTTTTAAGTAATTTGCTAGAAAACCAGTTTGGATTATAGTAGAATTTTGGAATAAGGAGAAGCCTTCAGTGAAAGATTTAAAGCTTTTAAGTTTAAGAGTTTTAGCCCACCAGATACATAATCATTGTAGAGATATGTACGTTTAACTTTATCAGGTTTATCATTCCATATAAATTTGAATATCTTCTGTTCATATATTTTGAAGAATGATTCTATAGGGGTTGGTAATGCAATAAATAAGTATGTAAACTGGGATACAACTAATGAGTTAATAAAAGTTATTTTTCCATAAATGGTGCTATGTGCCATGTTTCTTGGTTTACACGGTCACTGTAAAAGGAACAAAAAAACAACCTAGTATTTGAATGTAAATTTGCCCTACTAATGGCTTTTCTGTAAATACACAATGCTTTTGGAACAGCACACAATATTTTCTATAATAATTTAGAACTATGAACTGTTATGTTTCAAACTTTTTACAATTTCTTACAGCTATGCCCAACATGGGGGCAGAGAGCATCAAAGACCATGGGTAAGACCTGGGAGGCTAGTGAAAAAGACAGTGGGAGTAAGAAAGGGTGTAGGGAACAAGGAAGAGCACAGCTGGGAAGACTTTGGCTGCAAATGTCAGATAAAAAAATAATAAAAATGCTAAGTATATTAACCAGAAACACTCATCACATAAGCATCCACAGCAAGGTTATTGTCCATGGTCTTTGCAGCTCTCTTGGCCCCTCGCCGGACGTAGCTGTCTCTAATGAAGCAGACACTCGGCTGTTTGGAAAATACAGTGTAATAGTGAGAATTGTACCATATTGCAGGCAATAGAAGAAAGGCAAAAAAACAGCATTCATTATATGAGATCCACACAGTTATTTGAAAACACATTATTCCTTCAGCATAGTTGTAAAAAACTGTCTGCTGTTCTATTTTACATTACATAGAAATAGAAAAGAAACTATTACTCATGTCTTGGGCATTGTGTGGGCACAGATGCTGTAATGTTTTTAAGCACGCAGCCAAATGTTATTTTTTTATAAATTGAAAGAAAGAATCATTCTAAAACATGTTTTTGACACCAGTTATCGACAATGAAATGAACAAGACCGAAAAAAATTGCCTAAAATATAACCAAAGAACGTTAATATTGATGTACACTTACATAATGTTGCACTCCATTCATTTAACTCATTTAGTGCAGTGGTTAGCACTGTTGCCTCACAGCAAGAGTCGTGGGTTCAAACCCACGGCCTGGGGCCTTTCTGTGTGGGGTTTGCATGTCCTCCCAGTGTTCGTGTGGGTTTTCTCCAGGTACTCCGATTTCCCCCACCCACAAAAACATGCATCATAGGAACACTTCTTCTAGTACCCCTGACCAAGGAACTGGCTTTAGAGCTGGAGTTGGTCCCCGGGCGCTGCTCTGTACACTAAGCTAGTCAATAACAGCATTCGGTGACAACTCTTCTGAGCTAATATCCATCTGCTGCCTCTTGAAAGAACTGCAAGTCAAGATATCAATAGTTAATGAAACTGTAACGATAAAATTATTGTTTCCATTATGGTTCATGAATCATATCTTAGCTTTAGTAAACTTTGCTATAACCTAGCTAGGTAATAGCTAGTTAGCTAACATTAATTAATAACATTGATAAACCCCAATTTGCATTTTGCAGTCACTGCACTCACTAAGCTAGCTAGGTAACATAACCTTAAATGTGCAGAACCAATTTAAAAACTCAATATTAGAATGTTTTAATGTAGCCTGCTAGCTACCATAAGAGGTTACACATAGTTCAACCATAGACTGTATGAAAAGATGGACCCGAGACTGAAAAGTGAAGCCAATGCGGAAGTGCCTTAAACTTGCATTGTTTCTAATGGCCAGTAGATCAACTTTGGTGGTTATATAAAGAATTCCAATTTAATGGAAGTCAAGAGAAATGACCATTCTCTCTTGATTTATCACCTCCGTAAACTTTGTCCTCATTATTTTATGGTCTCAGTAGCTAGTTTTCAGTCTCCAGTACAGTATACTGTTCATTCTTTTGTACATTATAGTCCCATTTAGAGTAAAATAAAGAATAAAGCAATGTAAGCTTTAGGCTGTGACTATCTTGTGATTGACAGGACCTGTTAAGTCCCGTTAATCACATATAAATTCAATGGGCAATCAGGATGGATAATGGGATAGAGGCAAAGTAATGCGATTCCAAAAAACCCTCTTGCACCGGGTACATTCAATAGCTGTCCGTGTTTGTTGTTTTTTTTTTTTTTTTAGGAAATAGTCGCAAAATCATTGATGGGGTCTTTATTTTCCAGCTTCAGGGAAAGTTGTTATCTAATTAATAAGAAAAGAAATCTAAACCTTATCTAACCTCTTCCACTCGGGGCTTGCCATCTAAGGGACTTTTGCACAGCTCTCACCTCGACTTAAAGCGCATTACTTCCCTTAACTTTTTCCCATTTACGCTTCTCAATTAACAACTAAGCATGAATTTGTTCAGTTGTGAGGATCAGTTAGTAGAATTACTGTATATTTCCCCTCAGCTTGCATTAATACCCCGCCCACAAACGAAGTGCAGGAGGGGTTATGTGTTTGTCTCCGTTTATTTATTTATTTATCTGTGTGTGTGTGTTTGTCTGTGGACAGCCTACAGGCCGCAGTTTTGGTCGGATCGTTTTCATATTTCACAGAGGGGTTGGTAATGGTCCAAGTGAGAAGTGATTAGTTTTTGGTGCAGATCCAGATCAAACTGTGGATTCTGGTTCACTTTGAAAATTTCATTAACATTGGGAGATAAAGAAAATGTGGAAATTTGCTCTAATAACTCCATCAAAAACATAATGAATCACTTGAACATCAACACACTATAGCCCTCCAGGGAGGGCAACAACCATGAGTAGTTTGATCCGGATCTGACAGATAAAAAACTTCTAAAATATCCACCATATTTGAAGGTTGTGGGCGCAGGTGGGGTATGTGGCCTCCGGACACACCCTCTAGTTGTTCATTGCAATAGTAATCAAACATTTTCCTATCCACATTAATGGTGACATAAAACGTCAGTGTCTTTTGAAGCTACTGAATTCCCGTAGCTCACAAAGTGGTATATATATTTCTTTCTGAGTTAGTGTCCCATCAGCTTGATATGCCCACAAAATGTTTCAAAAAATGCAGTATTTCCAGCTCAGGTTCACGCATTAAGTTTGCTTGTGTAAAAATGAATCTCTGTCTAAAACCAGTGATATTACCATAATTAACTCTTAACTCTCAACCTAACTAGATCAAGCTACATCTGGCTATTTTTTTTGTGCATTGACGATTGCTTGAATTAAAACAGTCCCAAAACATGATCAACGCATCATCATATTTCACTGTGGGTATGAGATGTTTTTCCCAGTATGCTTCTCTGTTTCGACACCAAACATGCCGAAGCTGTATCTGACCGAAAGGTGCAATTTTGGTGTCATCTGATCAAAGAACCTCGTTCAAGTCATAATTTAAATCACCTTTGGCAAACTCTAAGTGCTTGTTTCTATGTCTTCTGGTCAGAAAAGGCTTTCTTCTGGCCACCCTTATAAAGAGCCTGTGGTTGTGGAGGTGGCGCCTGATGGTGCTTTTTGAAACCTGGTTACCCCAAGATGCCAGTAAGGCCTTCAATTCCTTCATAGTGATTCTCAGGGATTTTGTTCCTTCTCTCACCATTTTCCTCAGTATCCTGGGGGGCAAAATGCAGTTGTGTCCTCTTCCCTTCAGGTTTTCAACAGTTCCATATCTTTTGAATTTTTAATAATTGTGCTGACAGTGCTCAGTGGCATATTCAGTTCTATGTGGATCTTTCTATAGCCATTACCAGATTTATGAAGGTCTATGACCATCTACCTCTTTTAAACTGACAGTTGTTTTGTTTTGCTCATGGTGTTGGATGACAAAGGGATATTGCATGTGAGTTACCACGTTTTATATCCAAGTGAAACATGATGTAATAAGTGGAGTTTAATAGCTGGTTTAATTTTGGTAGGTGTTATTTACAATACTCTTTCATTTATTTATTTATTTATTGAATTTGGCATCTCCAATCCCTCCTGAATCTGGAATGCCCAATTAGCTAACTAAATATGCAAGCTTGCTGGTATGAGACCCCATGTTGCCATCTCAGGAGAGCAAAGGCAGTTTGTGGCTCTCTCCGAAGCATGCGTCTGTCGGCCGCCGCTTCTCATTACACTCATCACTCAAAACTTTGCGAGCTCAGGATGAAGGCGGAGGATACCGGAATATGTACAAGCTTAGAATTTTACTGACAAATGCCTGACTGGCCAACAGGAGGCGCTTGAGCAATGAACAATGCTGTAATTCAATAATCCCAAACTGGCAGTCTCTCCCAATTTACTACCCTGCAGCGCAAAGCCAATTGTGTGCTGCTCCGAAAAGGTAGTGTTTATAATTGGTAGCTAAAAGAGTAATTTCACCCTGAAACAGCTGAGTTTCTTTACTCTAGAACAGACCTGCCCTGGCAAGGGGGTTGGACCAAAGCGAGAACGTCTAGCAGAGCATTCAGGTCATGACTGAGGTCAAAGGACTCCCTGTTACAAAGACCAGATCTACTTGTGGTACTTAAAACAATTTAAAAATGATGATTACACAAATATCCAGTACAGATATAACTAACAGGTACAGATCATTTTATTCTTGTGTGTAAAAATATCTTGGAAACTTCGGAATTGAGAAGTGATGTCAATATGTATGCTAGATTGAGGGTTTTTCAATGCAAGTGAATGGGGACATAAATTTAAACACCTTCCCTTCGTTACAGAAGCATGGAATCTTAGTGAATCAATTTTGAAATGTATTGTACTGTACACATTGTTAACTGCATGTAATGCCCGATATTCAAATTCATGAAAATATTGCCTAAAAACAATGAAAATGGATCTATTGCATCTTGGAACCAAACTCTTCAATTTGGAGTCACAATTTAATTAGCTATTTGATATTTAAATATTTCTATTAACTGTATGATTCCTATGGTTCACAATTTAAGCAAAAGTAGGAGAAATAACACACCCAAACCCTGTTCTGACCTGAATATATCTATACTGGCAAACCTGGGTCTTGTATGAACGCCAAGTTGCCCAGGACTCTCCAATGACCATAGCGTGATGTGAATAGGTCAAACACTGTTTGGACATTTCCTGAGTAACCTCTGTGTTTTGAGAAATGGGTATTCAGGCTTGAGTCCTGGCTGGAACTCAGATTTTTCCATGGCTCATATGCTACCTGTTTGCTACTTTTCTGTGCCCTTAACTGCTGCAGTTGATGTCTTGCTGTCTCAGGGCACAGCTAAGGATCAGATTCAGCACCCATGTGTAGCAGGCCGAAGGAGGCCCCGGGCGAGGAATTGAACCCCAGACTCCCGGGCAAGAGTCAAACATGCTGACCACATCGCCAATGAGCCAGGCTCATTGGCAAGGTAGCCAGGGCGCGTACTTGTTAGGAGGCATTACAAGTGACAGGACCCTTCAACTGTCACATCTATTACGCCAAAATGTAGCAGGCCGAAGGAGGGCCCGGGCGGGGAATTGAACCCCAGCCTGCCGGGCAAGAGTCAAACACGCTGACCACATCGCCAATGAGCCAGGCTCGTTGGCAAGGTAGCCAGGGCGCGTACTTCTTAGGAGGCATTAATGGTGACAGGACCCTTCAACTGCCACACATGCCTTGAGATGTTGATTTGGTCTAAGTTGAGGAATGATTTTCGCTACAGGGATTGGACAGCCTCAGTTCACTTGACTCATCTCTTATCCTGTTGTCTCCAAGTGAATCAATCCTATCTTCAAACCTTGTCACTGAACTGGGGACCCAAAGACCTTGAAAAATTGTTTTCCTCACAATAATAGTGTGTTATTATTGCTCAAGGACTTCAGTATACCCAATATTATCATCCACCAATTTATGCTTAATATAGGGTAGCATATTGCCTGTGTCCCAGCCCTGCTCTAGGGCTGCAACAAGACGGGAGACAGACACAAGATGGCGGCCGAAAAAAAACTTAATGCATTTTACAAAAGCACCAATAAATCAATATAATGCATGAGGATCAGTAAATCAGTAGTGTAAAGCATGTATGGATGTGTGAATGTGAGTGGCAGAGCAAACAAAAGAAAGTTTCAAATCAGTGTCATGCTGCTGAGGTTGTATCTTCCGGGGAGAGAGACAAAGGCCTAGTCCACACGTACACGGGTATTTTAAAAAACAT